GGGGGGGGGGGGGGGGGGGGGCTAGCTAGCGAAGGTCTCGAGGATCTTTCGTTATTCGTCGCGAACGACACTGACATTTAATGTCCTACGATGGAATTTCTTGCGTTTTGGATTTGGACGTTTTGTCCTTTTTCACTTTTTTCCACGGCCCTTAAATTAATTTAAAATTTTCCTCCCCTATACCCCCCTTACGCTCTGTACGGGCTACGCTTCTCCTACGGCGATACGCTTGCTCGAACTTCAGAGTCGTTCAGGGACGTCTCTAGCGGGGGGTTGAGCTAATAAACTCCCAGCCTCCGGGGTCCGTTCACTGCGGGACGCCCGATGGGAGCCTTTAGCCACTCTATCTCCGCTAAGCTATACACGGGTGTAAGCACCACGGTGTGTATATATATATATATTGTGTATATATATATATATATCGTATATGCTTCTGGTCACGTGAAACAAGAATAGAGCAGCGCCACTGTACTCGCATAATTGCTCAGTATTTAACCCGAAGTATGGGTATATTAAACTCCGCATACAAGAATAGAGATACGGATGCTGCCGCCTTTCTTTTATTTCGTTCCGGCAGAGCGTCGATTTAGATCCCCGGGCCATCGCGACCCGTCGCTACGTCCCTGGTGGACATAGTTTCGATTCCTCGACGGTGAAACATAAGGTTCTATTGTCGTATCTGAATCGGGCTTAATGTCAGTAGGCCGGCCGTCGCGGCGACAAGGCCGCTCTGCGGTTCATTGTTATTGCAGGAGAGCTATTTGCGGTTACGAGTATACACGATTATTCATCTCCGTCACGATATTACTTTATGTACATGTATTGTCTGCGTATCAACCTTACTTGGGCGTTTACGTATATTTGAAAAATTCTCAACGAATCATTCGGTATGCTGATTTTCATTTATTATGCGGGATGACGTATCTGTCTTATTGGTGAATATATATATGTATATATGCTACTTCCTGATAATTATTAAATGCGTCTTTCGCCCTGGTTTTATTTTACTATTTTATAGTTTGAGTCGGTTTTTCTTCTACTTTTTTTTTCCCTAGAAAGTCCCTAGGTACTTTCGATAAAGTTTGCCTGCAGTGCTGTTTTATTCACTGGTACGAGGGAAGCGTTCGCCCAGGATTTTTGAATAATTAAACTGTATCTGGATTAAATCGAAATATCAATGCCTTCGAATATTAATGCCCGATCGTCGGGACTCGTGGAAAATTTAAAGGTTGCCGGGAAATGGACGTTTACATAGGTTTCTGTGTGTATCTATATATATATATATGGTGGACGGTAAATTCATGTAAGCTAATTGATCGGCGACCACAGCAAGTGCTCGATTATCGTTGCGGGCTTTACCATGCGTATCTATAGGGTGTTGAAAGTTTAATGAAAATTTTCAAAATCTTTGTAGGAATTTTTCTTCCGTTTTATGGGGCCGTTTGACGTTATCGGTAACCTCGTTTAATCGAGTATGAGATACAGCTGTCAACGCTTTTTAATGCCTTATGCCGAGTTCACAATCCATTAACCATACGTGCCGCTTTGGTTTT